AGTCCAGGGCTGCTGCCTTGCTGCAGGCCTTTGCCACCTTGTGCTGGATGGTGAATTCTAGCAGGCGATGATCGCTGTTACCCAGGTGGTGGAGCACCCGTAGACCCCTCACCAGGTCGTCGCCCATGGCCAGGACCAGGTCCAGGTCCAACAAAGTGTCTCCCCTGGTGGGGCTGTGCACCTCCTGGGTTAGATGAAGGTCCTGTATCTCAGCTAGTAACCTACATGAGTGGTCAGATCTGGCTGACTGCTCTTCCCAGCAGATGTCTGGAAAGTTCAGGTCACCCATGATGACCTTGTCCTTTGACCTAACTACCTCCATGAGCTGACTTAAGAATTCCTGGTCTAGCTCTTCCCCTTGGTTGGGAGGTCTGTAGTAGACCTCCACTGTTAAATCCCTTTCCCCTCAACTTCCTTGTATTGTAACCCAGAACGTGTCTGTAGAAGACGTGGACACCAGCTGTTTTTTTTTTTTTTTGAGATACTCACATGCTCCCTACCCCAACTCCAATTGATCTTTTAGGTATAGTGTCCTGAGTATATTAATGCCAGAAATGGATTTCTAAATCAACATGATCAGTTTCCTCTGACTTGCCTTTCTCTTGTAATAGTAATACCAAGCGTTTGTACAACGTGTTTGATCAATACATTTTATGCTAGGAATAAGTTTTAGTGGAAGCTTCTGGTTAATTAGTCTCAGTAGACATGTAATATTCAGTTGCTTTTTTGTTTTTTGGGGTTTTTTTTGCCAATAGAAAATCATGGAATCATAGAGAATTAGGGTTGGAAGGTACCTGAGGAGGTCATCTACTCCAAACCCTTGCTCAAGGCAGGATCATCCCTAACCATATCATCCTAGCCAAGGCTTTGTCTTAAAAAACCCCCTCTAAAGATAGAAATTCCACAACTGCTCTGGGTAGCCTATCTCAGTGCTTTATTACCTTCCTAGGGAGAGAGTTTTTCCTAGTATCTTATCTAAATTTCCCTGGCTGCAACTTGAGACCATCGATCTTTGTTCCATCATTTGCCACTACTAAGAACAATCTAGCTCCATCTTCTTTGAAACCATGCTTCAGGTAGTTGAAGGCTACTATTAAAACCTGCCCTCAGTCTTCTCCAAACTGTATAAGCTTAGTACCCTCTAGCCTGTCTTCATAAGTCACGTTCCCTAACCTTCTAACAATTTTGTTGCCCTTCACTGGACTCTCCAATTTGTGTATGTCATTTCTGTAATGAAGGGCCCAAAACTGAACACAGTACTCTAGGTGTGGCCTCTCCAGTGCCAAATAGAGAGGAAGAATCACTTCCCTAGATTTGCTGGCAATGCTGCTACTAATGCAGCCCAGCATGCCTTTAGCCATCTTCACAAGAAGTGCACATTTGTTTGCACATATTGTGCTTATTGTTCACTGTAACCCCCAGGTCCTTTTCTGCAGAGCTGCTGCTTAGCCAGTCAGTCCGCAACCTTTACTTGTGCATGGGATTGTTCAAGATTATTGTCCATAATTGAAGCGCAGGGCTTTGTACTTGTCCGTGTTGAACCTCATGAGGTTTCGTTTGGCCCAATCCTCCAATTTGTGTAGGTCTCTGAATCCTAGCCCTACCCTCCAGCACATGTGCTACTTCTCCCAGCTTGGTGTCTTCTGCAAACTTGCTGAGTGTGCCATCTTCCAGGTCTTTGACGATATTGAACAAAACTGGCCTGAGGACCAACCCCTGGGGCACTCCACTTGATACTAGTTGCCAATTAGTCATCAAGCCATTGATTACTGAGCCTTTGAGCCTGATGATCTAGCTGCTTTTCTATCCAGTTTAACAGTCCATTTATCTAATGCGTGCTTCCTTAGCTTGCTGGCAAGAATGTTGTGGGAGACCGTATCAAAAGCCTTGCTAAATTTAAGATGCATCACTTCCACTGCTTTCCCAGCATCCACTGAGCCAGTCATCTCATCATAGAAGGCCTATTGGTTGGTCAGAGGTGACTTGCCCTGGGTGACTGTTCCTAATCGCCTTCTTCTCCTTCAAGTGCTTAGAAATGGATTCCTTTAGGACCTGCACCATGATCTTTCCAGGGACTGAAATGAGGCTGATTGGTTTGTAGTTCCCTGAATAATTCTTCCCTTTCTTAAAGATGGGCACTATATTTGTACTTTTCCAGTTGTCTGGGACCACTCCTATTGTCTGGGAGCTGAACTTGCCTGAGAAGACTGAGTTAAAAAAGGCATCGAGTACTTAAGCCTTTTCCACATCATCTGTCACTAGGTCGCCTCCCCAATTCAGTAAGGGTCCCATGCTTTCCCTGATCATCTTGTTGCCAACAAACTTGTAGAAACCCTTCTTGTTACCCTTCACATTCCTTGATAGCTTCTACTCCAGTTGTGCTTTGGCCTTCCTGATTTCATCCCTGCATGCCTTATACCTTACAAATTCCACAGCAAACACATAACTGCTCTTGTAACCATCCACAAAAGACTATTTCCAAGGACTGTAGAGTCAAGGGACCCTGTTCATTCACACAGCCTTTCCAGCAGAGAGATGACTTTCTCTGCTCTCTAGCTTCCTGTTGCAAACACAACAGGAAGTTCTTACTTAATTGCAAGTGGACCACAGCATGTACCCATATCCACTACTCTGCCTGACGTAAGCAAACAAAGTGTCCTGGTCAGCAGTAACAAACAACATCTCTTGCACAACACTTGGAACCCTAGTCAATTACCATACAGCTCTACCTTCCTAGAAATCTTGGCTAACCCCTCTAGAAAGGGTCACTCTGCATCAACAAATCCCCTGATCAGTCAGGTTACTATCAGTGTGTCCCAGCGTAGTTGCCAGTTATTGACACTGGATTTTAAGAACCCAGCCCTTACACCTTTGTTCCAGGCAGGGACAACCCTCAGACTAACAACAACACTTGCCAGTTGATAATAGGTGAATTTATTGATACAGAGTGATAACAAAAAAGCAACAATACTAACCATCAAGCAGTTCTATATTTATGAATCCTAGGGCTGTCATCCGAGTCAAAGTACAGCAGTCTGGAGTTGAGATGTCTATGCCCACAGCCCCCCTCCACTCAGGTGCATGAGATGAGCTGCTGGTATGCCCTCTGTCCATGGTGTCCTTGGGGACCCTTCCAAAGGGGTGGGGACCCCTCTCAGGGAGCAGAACAGGGAGGGACAAGAGGGAAAGAGAGGGAGGGCCAGGGACAGACATTACACACAAACCAGTTTAAGTGATCAGAAACTGGTTTACATCTGTAACAGAACAGATATTCAGTGGACATAAACCAATTTGAAAATGGGTGAAACCGGTTTGAGATGAACCTAGTTGAATGTAGTATTAGACTTAACTGATTTTGGTCAAACTGGTTTATGCAATGTCTGTAGACCCCTGCTGGTTTAAATTAATCCAGACACTCCCAGCATGTCTGGGCTGGGTGGAGCTCTCTGCCCCACAGCAGAGCTGGCCCCTCCCCTCTGCTCCCTGGCTGGAGCTTGGCAGAGACTGCAGGCTGCTCCTCCCCCTCCCCACTCCCTGCTAAGCAGGAATTACCCCTCCCCTCTGCCTTGCTGAGAGGTATCTGTGTATTAGCTAACAGACCACATGCTGGCTCCGGTCCCTGCTGTGACAAAGGCAGAATCAGCAGGTACTGATAATCCTGTCATTCTGCTGTTTTCTTAATGGGGTGATAAACACTGAGTTAGGGATGATAAACACTGGTATCAATTCCTTGCTGGGCTAATCGAAGCATCCTGCCAGGGCCTGGCCGTGCCCCCCCTCAGCTCAGTATTGTGTAAGGGAAGGGAGGGCTGCTTTAGCACCCCCTGGCTTCTAGCCTGAGCCACTGCAGGCATGTGCCTGCATTTCTGGAATGAAAAGGGAATGTCTATCCACCTCCAAATCGGTTCAAGCTTTGCAGGTTAGACTAACCTGCCAAGATTGAATAAATTGAGGCTCAGGCTTTTTGAACGTCTTTCCCTAGCAGTCTGCTACTGTTGCCTGAGCTAGCTTAACAGTAATTAGCTAAAACTTCAGGCTCTACAAATCCATATTTATATGAATACCAGTAGTCTTTTCAAAAGCATCTTGGTCATTGACAAGCCTGAGTTCCATGGGCAGTTTTGGAAATTTAGCTCTTAAGGGTGCGTGTAGACAAAATATGGCCCTAAATTGAAGTGGTGGGTTTTTAAAAACACCGCTTCAATTTAGCACCAAGTAAACCCCCATGTTGTGGCAGCAGCGGCACCTGCCAGCAGGTACCTGGCTTGGGCAGTCCTGGGGGGGACTGAGGCTGCGGAGGGAAGCACTGGGCCTCTGTGCAAGTCAGGCAGGCAGTCTCCAAGAGAAAAAAAAATCAACAATCATTTATTTTTTTCCCCTTGGGCGGAGCCTGCCTTCCTGGGCTGCTGCCTGCATGGTCTTTCTGCATAGCCACGGAGCTGCACAGAGCCTGGTGCTTTGCTCTGTGGCTGTAGGGCAGCAAACTAAAACTCCTTGGTGGAGTTTTAGTTTGCTGCACCCCAAATCATTTAAGGTGCGTTATGCTGCTGAATTTGCTACAGTGACTAGAATTACTGCACAATACACAGCCAACATGTGCAAACACCAACATCATTAAGGTAGTGCAAAACCATTTAACCCACTTTGAAGTGTTGTGCGCACATGCCCCTTGTTTTGTCTACACATGGCCTTGGTCTCTTAAATCCATATTTAGGCTACTAAGTTAGGCTTCTGTTTTTGAAAATGTTTTAGATTTGGGGGTATTAAACCCAGAATGATCATTGTCATCACTTAAGTCTGGCCTGCTCAGCACAAGGCAGAATTTCTTGAGTTCCTAGCTTAGCTTGCATTTCTAGGAAAGCATGTCTGTGTTCAGTAAACGTGAAAAACTGCACTTGGACTGGTTGAGATTAAGTATGTTTTTAACAGGCTTTTTATTAGATAGCCTTACTTGTAAAATGAAAACTTCTCTGTTTTTCATAAACTGTAATATTTTTCAGGTTTAGATAAACTTCACCTGTCAAACAATGTAAGAGACTCAGAAACAAAGCCTGCTGCAAACGGGCATCAGAAAACACTGTGAGGAACGATCATCTTCAGTCACTAGAGCTGAAAACTTCAACCTCATGACATTCCTGTCATCTCATCAACGTATTTTTGTATAGATTTTACTTGTTGCTAATTTGGGTCCAAGTTTGTGTCCCTCTGGACACTGCTTCTGAGAAACCTCGCTACTGCAGGTTCTACATGGGATTATTTTTGGTTCATTTTGTTTACACCCCAGGCAGTTTATGCAGGAGGTACCTTGAAGACTGAAAACTGAAGAGGATGAAAAGTTTCTGTTTTTGGATGTAGTTTCATGTTTCTAGATGTGATGTTCCACTACTATGTGAAAAGCACAGTTCCTTGCGTATGCTATAAATACAGTGACAAAAAATAACTTTGAATCTTCATAACAAAGGATACATTTGAAACCCAGTATAACCCTACCTGGAATATTATTTACAGTAGATATGCTTTTCTGCTAAGAATATGGTAAGAGAAAGTGAAGTAATTTCCAGAGATGACTGTTGCTTTCATATGGGATCACTAAGTTGTTTATAGTCTGACATTGCAAAGCATTCTTCAGGGGCCAGCATTTTAAGCTTCCTGTTCTTAGCTATATGTGACTGAAGACTACTTTATTTAGTGACCATTAGACAATATCTCGCCAAATTTAGCAAACCACAAGATAAATGCTCACTTCAGCATTAAATCTGAGCTAAGAGTGCTTTGTAGAAAGCTACACAGATGTCTTACTGGTATAGTTTTTAATCCTACAAATTAAGAAAGAAGTGTTGTGCCATAGAGGTCAGTTGCCATAGCGAACGACACAGAATTTTACACGCACAGAATTTCTTTTATATTCCTTTTATTTGGAATCCGCACAAGTAGTAGTTAGTGGTTGCTTAGTAGGCTTCAATTGCACATAGTTGTAGCCTAAATGTTTTACCTGAAGTAAATTTATTTCTCTGAATTGCATCCTGATAGCTGTACTGTTACGCAGAGGTACAATCCAGTATTTCTCAACAATCTCTTCAGTCTTTAGTTTCTCTTAATATATGTGTGTGCATATATGCACATATATGTATGTATAGAAAATTAAATGCTTTCTCCTGCGGAAAAAACACAGGAAACTTGGTAAATAAACCCTGTTTATTCGGTCTTGTTAGTATGAGAATGCTAAAGGAAATGAATATGAAGTCCTCCAAGCAGTGCGTGACAAACTATAGGTTGCTATTAAACTATATACTTTTGGCTATAAACTATACACTATTTTTTGTTGGTGTAAAACTGAACTATGTGCAGATCTCTGGCCTTGCACTTAATGAGCTGTGCCAACCAGTTTATATCCAGTCTGATTCTGAAGCGAAGTAGTCTTTTCTTAGGTTGGGTGTTTTTTTATCTGCTGTCTTTCTGAGGCGGTTCTGGGTTCTGGATTTGTGCTTAATGCAATGCATGTCATAGGAGTTTTCTGGAATATATCACAAGACAAACTCCAAAGAATATCACTTTCATGAATCTGCCTTTTCTGAACTGAAATGAGTCATAATGTAAATACTACTCAAGTCAAGTTCTAGCTATCGGATCTCCTTTTCCTTTTTGTGAGTGCTAGTGTAATCAAAACTAAATTCCAGGCATACCTTTTCCTAGGATGGTTATTGATATGTTGTATTAAAGTCTGAAGGACAGTAAAATTGCTTGACTTTTTAAAGATTTAGAGGTATCTTACTATTGCTCAGATTTAACAATGAGGTTTTTTTGGACTTCTTTCCCTACTAAGGAAAAAATCCTGGTCACAAACAAGTATCTACAGTTAATTCCCTTAAAAGTGAATATAAGTTTACAAGAAGATTTATCATTAAAGGCATTATTGATTTCTGCTGCCTGTTCAGAGTGGGTGGACTTAGACACTAGAACTGTAGTGAAGAATAATAGGTGCATCTAGTTTCTTGCTTTTACAAGTTGATAGTGCTGCCATGGTCTTACAAGCGTCTCCAGTGTCACTTGCAAACTGGTAGATAATGAAGTGTTGCTAGCTTTTTATAATGCACATGCCAGGTTCCTATTATATTGTGATTTAAGATAGTTGCCAAAGCTTAAGTTAAAATTTTTGTTTGAATCTACTTCATGAAATTGTCTAAAGATGAAGTAAAAAATTCTGTCCAAATTTTAGAGGGATGTTAGCATTCACATAGAAACCGATCAGACTTTTTTTGAGAAGTGTTTCCCTTATCATAAGCTATCCAAGAACATTAGGAAAGATGGATCATAATCCATGCACGTGTGTTCCCAAAGATGGACTGTGATGATTAAATGCATTGGGTTTAGGCACTTCCCAGCGATAAGTACACATGCAAGTGCCAGTTTTCTGGCAAGACTTTTCTTCCTCATCTTAGACTTCCTCTGCCTTCCAAAACAGAAGCTGAATTATATGTTGGTTGCACCTTTAATGGATTCTGCTATGTATGCTAAAGAAATGTATTGGATCAGATAGATTACCAACATGTAGACAATACTGTAAAAGACTTTTACGGCTGATCAGTCTTCAAAGAAAATTGAAATTGTCTTGTATAACTGCTGACAGTGTTGGCTCTATCTATATTGTTACACTGTCTACATTTTAAATGGCTGCTTAGCCCTGCAACTAGCATTCGGTATGCAAACCTTGACATACAGTACTCCTTTCAACTATAGATGTGAAACCTAGGTCACGTATATTTTAGGCACATACATTCACCTAAGTAGAAGCAGTTGGTAATTCATGAATGGATATTGGCAATGCATTCCTAATATTTTTGACTCGTGTAGAGTCTGGTAGTCTATACCTTTATACAGCTGATCTTGATGGCATCAACATCTGCCTCACTTATGAGGTGAAAGCAAAGAGATGCTTCCATCTTAAACCAGATGTCAGAAATTTGACCAAAAATGTATGTGATGATGTCTTAAATGAGCCACCTCTTGGCTTTCTCCTGTGTTGGCAACACAGTATTTAATGCAATGGCCGAATTGTAATATGGTGGGATTTTTTAGTGTAAGCACATCTTTGGTACTTGACACTTTAAGCATTAAATTGTTGTGATATGTTACTGTTCAAGTAACAGTTTTTGGATATGTAGAAAACTTTGTTTACCGGTTTGTAATGTGGTGTTTATTTTTGGTCCTGTTTCCCCCAAATCTTTTACACAGTTGGCTGTTTTACAGTGTCATAAGAATTAAAGTGTTTAACAAGGAATTATTTCATGCTTTGGTCCAGAAGGTTGGGATCAAGTTTTAAATCATTGAGCAACTAGGGTATTAGTCATTCAAGCATATTGAAGCAGCTGGTAGTCAAAGCTATTTAGAGTGTCTAAAGTGTGCCCAGCACTGTACAAAACACTTGAAGTAGTCCTGAGAAACCTACAGTCTAAATCAGATGGGGAAATGACACTCTGAATTTACTGAATGTACATCACAGTACACATGGGAAATGGCTAAAGGTCAAGCCTTCATGGTGAATTTTATATTACATTAGTGATTGTCCAGATGAGTCCCTGCCACTGGTCATATCAGTTATCAATTATTAGGCTGATGTCTTCCATATGGCATTTTGGAGAACCTAGAATATATAATGTTAGTCAGTTGCTTAAACCCCCCCCCCCCCCCCCC